TATTGCCCTGGTAACTAGTGACTTTTCACACTTTCATTTTTACTCAAATATTTTTCATACACTTACATTTTGCTTATCCCCATTCATACTCACTACCGACTCATTATTACCGCATTTTTTGAGATTAAGATAATCTCATCTCGCCCACTTATCATTTTTTTAATATAATATTTCTATGATTACGTAACCGCCCAAACTTATTTTTAATTTTATCCCGCTCATTCGTCAACATTCCCCACCTTCCACTTCCTATCTGTTCTACGGAAATCAAATCTATGATACATAAAGAGATAATCCCCTTACAAATCATATATAAAATTAACCACAGACTTTCATTGAAGCGAAAAAACCATGAACACCTGAAATAAAGAAACAACAACTCCAATCAATTCATTAGATATATAATTTTAATGAACGCTTACGCACAATGATGCTATCTGGTTTGGGTAATATTTTGAGCAAAAACTACTACCTATAATCACACGGATTGTTGGAAGTATTGTAAAGAAATTTTTAAAATTTTATTTTTAATCAAAGTTCAATATACAAAACGTATATGTACGTCTCTGTGTGTGAAAAGACTAAAAATAAATATTATGCAAAGAATTCAACTGTATTCAAAACCAGCGTTCGCATTTAACGCATAGAGTAAACGATCACGAATTATTTCAGCATTACGAAAATCTGATAAACGCAATAAATTCATACATGTGCTAGCAGTTGGTAATCGTTCAATATCATCAGTAATCTGTAGTGAAAAAGGCGGTTGAAGTTCACGAAATCCAAACATTGGCGGACGTGAACAAGCTGTTACAAAACGAAGGAAGGAGCGTTTATCCGCTTCTGAGAAATTCTGTAGGACATGCCAAAAACTATCTACTGTTTCAGTATACGCCAATGAATCTATAACAAAAGGAGATAATTATAATAATAACAATAATAATAATAATTAAAAGTGGAACGTAGGTACACATTCAATTAACTTCATGACTTTGGACCTTTCACAACAACTTTGAAACAACAAGGACAAGCAGTAGATTATATGAGATTTGTTTTAGACAATACAGGACAGTAGTGGTATCATTGCATAACAATTCAAATAGCCATCACTCATACACTTGAAGGACAAAGAAATGAAGAAAGCAGTCAAAGGTGGCCGAAAATAGTGAGAACAGAAAGGGATAATGAGATTCGGTATCACGACTGAGATGATGGATGATGTATGTACACATCTGCGCCACTGAAATCGGTTCTCAGTCATATCATCCAGAGTCCCCGACCACTGACTTCTGTTGTTGGGTGGGTCCCAACTACTAAGTCTAGATTTCATTAAATGGCTGAGACCAACATTCAAAGACTTCATAAAATTCTTCCTTTTCACGCATTTGAATGAAGCAAGAAGAGCAATGGTAGCAGAATTAGCATGCATATAATTCGTGGATTCTCCTCACCTGCTCTATAACGTATAGAATAAATTTTTATGATAAATAATATGCTACCTTCTAACTCCATTCGCATAAGATGTCGATTTATTAAAGTGTGTTGTACCACGAACAAAAGAAATCAACGTAGAACCTCGCACACAACTTCATCAACTAAAGTTACCACAATTCACACTAATACATACACAAACAGATGCATAGAATAACAGTGATATCAAAGTAGACAAACTTGTGTGAGAGAATAAACAGCTTCAAGACAACAGATAGTGAAAATACTCAAGCTTTAGAAGACGTCAAAGAGAGAATACATCTAAGCCATTAAAATCGATTTCCAGCAGCGTCATCAAGAATTCTCAACCACTGACTCCAATCATCTCGAGGACCACAACCACACTGTCCACACTCACCATTCGGCTCAGACCAACAGTAAGAGATTTCATACATAGACTGGTGCCACATTATGGTGTGGTTACCATCCTCCCTCACACAGCCTAATCCAGCTTCAGCATCAAGCATGCCACCTACAGGTAAGTAGTGGAACACATGTCCAAGTCATCTCAGTCGACTGAGGTTCAACAACTCATCAGTAGAATTGTCTACAACCCTCCACCTCACCTCAACATTGCTCACACGATGATTCCATCAAACACGAGCAATGCTACCATGACACCTATGTTCAAAACCCAGGAACCGCTTCATCTCTTCTACTCCTAACAGCTATCTCACAACCATATAACAGGACAGAACGGACTACACGGCTTTATACTCATCCTTTGATTATCCATTATTATTATTTTCCTGTGGGTTCCCAGTGGAACTCAGGTCTTCAGTACCACGCCTCCATTCCATTCTCTTCTCTGCAGTCTTTTGAACCTGGCTCCACCACTGCCACAAGCTGTCATTTCTTCCTCACATCATCTCCTCCATGTCACCCTCGCCTCGGACGCCCAACTCGTCGTTTCCCCTTCAGGTTCAACTCGACGGCCTGGCCTGACGCATGATGTCTCTGAATGGTCTTCTCAGTGCACACCCAATCCATCCCACTTTTTAATGCATATTTGTTGGGCGATGGGTTCTTGGTTGGTTTTTTGTCCAGCCAGAGTTCCTTGTTGCTTATTCTCATCATTCCGATCTTCAGTGTCAATATCGAGTGAGCGTAGGAGGCAGCTGTTGATGTTTGTCTGCAATTAGTTGGAAATGTTCTTCGTCACGCGCCAAGTTTCTGAACCATCACATAGAAGCACTGACTGGACTAAGATTAGTGCTGAAAATCCACAACTTTTTCATGCTTTATGCTGAGTGGAGTGGAGTGCAGTAGATCTCCACATTGGTTTCCGAATAATGAAGGCATGTATTGCTGTATTTCTGATCCTGACTGGTTTTGACATCCACATCTGTGCCGCCTATAGTTGAAACGATGCTGCCTAGGAAGGTACGTGAAAGACACAACTTCCTTTAGGTTTCTCCCGTTGATGGTGGTTGGTGATTGTTGTTGTTGTTGTTGGTGGTGGTTAGGTATCTTTCTCACCTCTGTCCTCTCTACATTCACTTGAAGTCATGTCTCCGCTGCCTTTCCTCTTCTGACAACTTGCTAGTTCTCGCCTGTACATCTTCGAGTTTTTTCGACAAGACATTAGACATAAATCATCTTCGGCGGCGAAATCCAAATCTTCTTCTAGGGTCTTTTCATCGGTTCAGCCGGCGTATGCCCATCTTCTCGTTCCTCACTGTATGCTGCATGATCCAGTCAACCACAATCGGGAAGATGATCGGTGATAGTAGGCGGCAACCTTGTCTTACCCCTGTCTTCACTTCAAAGGCATCACTCAGCTTTCCATTGTGAATCACTCGGCATGTGGTGTCGTCACATAGCTGTTGAATCAGGTTGATAAGGACTAGTGACACTAAAACCGTAGTGTTGAAGCAGCTGCCTGACAAATTACTTCTCGGTCGACGCTATCGAAAACCTTTTCAAAGTCGATGAAGTTGAGGTAGAGAGTTGACTCCCATTCGATGCTGTGCTCTATGATGATGCGTAGCGTTGCAATTTGATCCGCACATAATCTGTTATTCCTGAAGTGAATCCAGCCTGTTCCAGTTGTAATTTTGAATCCAGCGCATCGTTTTGTTTCTCCAACATGATGTGGCATACTATTTTGCTTACTAGGGGTGGACAGCAGCATGATTCCCGCCAGTTCTTGCAAAGGCTTATGTCTCCCTAGTTTAGGATTTCGACAAGGTAGCCCTTCTTCCAGTCTATTGGCGGTTACCTTTCCTTCCTTCTGCGATAGTGGACGAAGCGTGTCCGCTGATGTATGATGTCTCTGCGCCTGTTTACAGTGCTTCTGGTGGAATTCCGTCTGGTCCTGCTGCTCTCCCGGATTTCAGCAGCCTTCCGGCATTCAGGACTTCGGCTTTTCTCAGAGGGCCTGTGTTCACTGGTAATTCTGCGGTTGCCGGTGGTGGTCGATTCAAGAGTTTCTGAAATGGTCAGCCCATTGTTTCCTTTGTTTCTCCTCTTTGGTAACTAGGTTCCCTTCACTATCTTTCATTGGTTTCGTCTGTGTTGATCTCTTCCATAACAGACAGTAACCTGGTTATTTGATATAATGTTGTCAAGTCTCTCCTACCAGCAGCAGCCTGTTCTGCTTCACTTGCCAGTGTGTCGTAGAAGTGTCTTTAGTCTTCGCGCACTCTCTTCGTCACTTCTTTGTCCAGTGTAGTGTTTGATGGGTTGTACTCAGTTCTTCTTTTCGTTGTGCATCCTTGCCCATCGGTTTATCTTCTGCTTCACCATCCTCCTCTCCCTCCTCTATCAGCTTCCATGTGTCCGTGGAGATCCATTCCTTGTCTTGTTTCCTCTTCCTTCCTAATACGATTATGCAGGTTTTTTTCCACATCGCTTTCAAACAGTTCCAGTGTTCTTCCATACAGGTTTCTTCAGGGATGTTGCTCAATGTCTCCCATTTTGTCTTGATAGCTGATGTGAAGATATCCTTTGTAGTTTCGTCCTTCAGTGCAGTTTCTGTTCTGGTTGTTCAAATTGAACTGTGGTCTATCTATCACCAGCTTCTTTTAAGGCTTTCTTTGTACTATATAGTGAGTGGTGTGAACCTACATCCGCTACTCTTCTTGATCTGATCTTGTGTCGAGTAGGCTGACTGCGTCTCCACTCTCTTCACCTTGAGATGAAGTCGATCTGATTTTTAGTGTAGTGTGTCCTGGTGTCTGGTGAAATCCATGTCGCTGCTTTGTGAATATTCTTGTGTTTGTACACACTGCCCCCAATCACCAAACCGTTGGATGCGCAGAAGTCTGCAAACAGTTCTCCATTCTCGTTCATCACTTCGCCGAGTGCTTCTCAACCCATGATCAGTCCTGTTCTCTTCCTGTGTTGTCCACTCCCAATGTGGCATTCATGTCACCCCACCCATTAGAATGAGTTTCGATATCGCCAACTGGAGTGGGGTCTTGTCCAGTACTGATTGTAGTTGTCTGTAGAATTCCTCCTTCTTCGCTTGATTTGCATTATTTGTAGGTGCGTAGTATTGCATGATTGTTTATTTTCCTTCCTTTTGAGTTGAACCTTGATGTCATAATCCAGTAGGAGGAGGTTGGTTCCCACTACATGAGAGAGAGCCTTCGATGTTCTTGGGGACATCATGATAGCCACTCCAAAACTCAGTGTGCTCGTGATTGTCGTCTGGGTGATAATTTCGGAGTAGATCATTGACTCTCCAGTTGACAGTTTGGAGAGTCCACTTCCATTCCATCTGTTTTCGCAGATTCCAACCACTTCTTTGCTATACCTTCTCATCTCTTTGGTAATCTGGGCAGCCTTGCCAGTCAGCCTCAAACATTGTGTGGACATCCCATGTCCCCATGTTCACTTTCACTTTCATCGAGAGAGAGAAGACACATCGGCCAATTGGCTTCCCGAATGCTTTCACCAACTGGCGTCATTTCGTCTCTCCGATTCCAGCGAGGAATGAGTTTAGTTTTCTGTTTAATGTTTTCTTTATGCTTTAAAGTTTCTGTAGCTATTGGATTGGTTTTACGGGGTAGGGTTGCTAGCTCTATACCCAACCTTCCCTCTTTACCCGGGCTTAGGACGGGCTAGTAACTAATGATCTAGTTAACTAGGCGGTGTTCTTGCCTCATATAACACTTATCTATTTCTATCATAATGGTGGGTAGTGGCTACCAGTGGAATTCGGGATTCATGATGTAGGTGTATCTGGTTTCCAGTGAAAGATGTTCTCGCCTAGACTGGAACCTGGAGCTGATCGCCTCATTGATTCTGAATAGGACGAAACACGCGCCCTAGATTCCACTGCTATGCACTATCCTTGATTACCATCAAACTGAGATAGCTGGCATAACCCAGGTATCCACTTAGCAGTCAATAGAGGTCGATCGATTTCGTCCAGTAAACGGCGGGGAACTGAAAGCAATAAAGTTGGTGTAGTTTGACTGGATTTACTGCATGACTCTCTTTTGTGTTTTGAATTGTAATGTTTTTGTGATCTTTAAAACACTGTTGGTATCTTAAGACGCTTTCATAGTTATTGTAGTTACTTACTTATCTATTCAGGTTTTTATGGAGCTGACGAAAATCCTGTGAAATGAAGTGAGGTTTCGCCTTAAGTCTTACATTGATTATTATATTTCACTTATTCTCATGAATTTATAACTGTAAGCTTGACGAGAAAGTTATTGAAAACACCTCTTTTCTCAAATTATTCTTATTTTCAATAACCTATGAGTATCGTGTAATTTATCCAAAGTAATATCAATGTTAGGTTGTTTTAGGTGAATAGCATGAAAGTCTGTCACTCTCATCTTTACGGCGTATATCTTCAGGGTGCTGTTTTCCAATGGAAGATCAGAATTCGATAGTATCTTCTCATTTTCTTTTGTTGGTTTTTCATAACTATATTCTAGTTGCCGTATACCATATATACGTTTGCACTGTGTTTTTGTCTATTTGTAGATATATCCACATGTAAAGGCTTTCATAATGGGATTGAATGATATCATTCCAATTAATTGGTTACGACTGTTTGATGCTGAAGAATTACAAACACTTATATCTGGAGCGGATAGCGTAATTGATGTCAATGATTTAAAACAGCACACACTATATGTTGGAAGTAGGTTTGATAATTCCGAGATTTATTATTGGTTATTTGAATTTTTGTTTTGTTTGGTATTTTCTTCTTAAATCCTTTTAATTCCATGGATATATTTTGTATACACCGGAGTGTGATAACTGATTAGGATCTAGCGAAAACTGAATTCACAATAGCCAAACTGTTTATTGGCAGAAGTAGATTCATTGCGCATAAAGAAGAAGTAAACAATGGCATGAAACTAGTGATATCAGTGTACAACAACAACGATGTTAGGAAGACAAGGTTTAATGTATATCTATTAGGCACTGCTGTTGATTCTCATCAGGATCACCTCAAGTCTCTAATCATTGAGACGAACAAGTCTACATTTCAGCATACAAGTCAAACCAATGATCAACCTCGAGCTACCAACTGAGTGTTTCACCGTGTGATTTATAATGCGTCGTTTGGATTTTTCGCTGAACAACCGAAATCGATCTTTGAAAATACCAAGTGATATGATCGGCACTTGAACGCAGTGTGCACATGCATCCACACCTTATCTTGGGTTAGGCTTGTGTTTGTGTTCATCTTTCTTTTCGTTGTATGACTTTGTCAAAATTTCGATCACATTATTTTCACTCCTTTGGTTTTTAATATTGTGTTTTGCCTTCCTGATGAAACCGTTAGGCAGTGATGATGACTGTTTCTCTGAGTTCTTTTGTTGGTGGTAGTGTTGTAGCAGTCTCTGACTGTGAAAGGAGTCCGAGCAAGTAAATAACGCTAATCAAAGCTCTGTATGTGAACTCACGCAGCCGTGTTAAGGGTTTATGATGAGTTGTCATCAGGATTGACGACAACTATACGTGCCCGCCAGAGATGCTCGATGTCACCGCTTCTAATTAACTTCGTCGGTGGTCGGGGACTCTGGATGATATGACTGAGAACCGATTTCAGTGGCGCATATGTGTACATACATCATCCATCATCTCAGTCGTGATACCGAATCTCATTATCCCTTTCTGTTCTCACTATTTTCGGCCACCTTTGACTGCTTTCTTCATTTCTTTGTCCTTCATGTGTATATATGAGTGATGGCTATTTGGATTGTTATGCAATGATACCACTACTGTCCTGTATTGTCTAAAACAAATCTCATATAATCTACTGCTTGTCCTTGTTGTTTCAAAGTTGTTGTGAAAGGTCCAAAGTCATGAAGTTAATTGAATGTGTACCTACGTTCCACTTTTAATTATTATTATTATTGTTATTATTATAATTATCTCCTTTTGTTATAGATTCATTGGCGTATACTGAAACAGTAGATAGTTTTTGGCATGTCCTACAGAATTTCTCAGAAGCGGATAAACGCTCCTTCCTTCGTTTTGTAACAGCTTGTTCACGTCCGCCAATGTTTGGATTTCGTGAACTTCAACCGCCTTTTTCACTACAGATTACTGATGATATTGAACGATTACCAACTGCTAGCACATGTATGAATTTATTGCGTTTACCAGATTTTCGTAATGCTGAAATAATTCGTGATCGTTTACTCTATGCATTAAATGCGAACGCTGGTTTTGAATACAGTTGAATTCTTTGCATAATATTTATTTTTAGTCTTTTCACACACAGAGACGTACATATACGTTTTGTATATTGAACTTTGATTAAAAATAAAATTTTAAAAATTTCTTTACAATACTTCCAACAATCCGTGTGATTATAGGTAGTAGTTTTGCTCAAAATATTACCCAAACCAGATAGCATCATTGTGCGTAAGCGTTCATTAAAATTATATATCTAATGAATTGATTGGATTTGTTGTTTCTTTATTTCAGGTGTTCATGGCTTTTTCGCTTCAATGAAAGTCTGTGGTTAATTTTATATATGATTTATAAGGGAATTATCTCTTTATGTATCATAGATTTGATTTCCGTAGAACAGATGGGAAGTGGAAAAGTGGGTAAACGTGGTAACCACTTTATTAAGAAATTGACCTGTATTAATGGATGAGGGAGCGACATCATCTCGGCATACGTTGAAAAAGATTCAAATGACTTATATCATTCGGTGCCATTGAGAAATTCAATTTCCTACTTAGGGTGAAATGTAGCACTCAGCAGTAATCTCTCTGTCTCGGTTGTTGTATGGCTGTGAATGTTATGACTAGGCCCCTGGCATTTCTTCGCTGATAAGCTTTTGAGATGATCGCGTGTTTTGAAACCACCACGTTAATAACGTACATGTCGGGTGTAGTATGAGTTCAAAGAAGTAATTCAGCTAATGGGGTTTTTAAATTGTTAACAGTTGAAATGTTTTTCCACCAGCCCTCGGATTATTGTTCCTGGTCGCGTATGAAAACTGTGTCTTCATAACTGGGTACTCTGTAATAACTGGAATCGATGTTAGTGACGTAGAGGTGTGCAGAAATTATTTCCTTCCGGACCATTTTGCCATATTTCGTTGTTTTCACCTCCTCTTTTATAGACTTTCAAGTAGTTTTGATGACAGCGCTCCTCCTTGTTTGTCTATGGTTCATGCGTCTGCCTTTTGTCTTCGAACACCCGAGGTATGGCAACTTGGACCGTTACGCATCAAGTCCCATACGCGTATTGGCTGGCATCAACACAAATCCACGCCTGTACGCATAGTTACTTCCCGTGTTTTAAAACACTTAGTTAAATTGCTTCACTTTGGCATTTTGAACATTAGACGGAAATCATATTGTTAAAAAATTCCTCAATGGGTATCACAATGCCTTACTTTAATTAGACAGTCGGATTCTACGAGTACATGCACTTTATGAGCTCTTCAGACAAATAAATTGCGACCGCATGTTGCAACGTGAAATAACTTCGTACATATTGCTAGATATATTCGATACTAACAGATGAAACCACTCAAACTCAACCCGACTAGTATTAATTAACTGCGCAACAATCGATGTTGCACCACACTAAGCAACAAATAAACTTAATTATTACTCTACGAATGCGTATCTGATCTTGGCCACCACAGCTAATAATTCCTCCGATGTTACGAATTGAATTCTTTTACCTACATTGTCCAACTAACAGAGACTGTTCACCTAGATGACCTGCTATGGATATGTGTACAGTCTGACTCGAAAATTATTCTGCTTAAATTTGATTTTCGAAGACCGACAAGGGTATCCTGAACACCACAAGAAAAGTCTTTCATGTAAGTCTGACTTGTGACCGTTGGGTTGCGGATTCGAATCCCGTTCCTCCTAATTCACCATAGGTAACAAGATAATATTATCGGAGGTTATGTGAACTCCTGCGCTGTTTTATTTTCTTTGTTATCTTCATGCATATTAGGAAGTTGTGACGTGTTAGACAACACAAGTCGGTTCTGAGGACAGATACTCAACAATGGCGTTGAATGATGGTCGCGCGATATCGCTAATTAACAGAAATAATACATTGTGGGCCATCGGGTTCCGATTTGGTGATTCGATGATAACGCGCTTACCGTGAGACCTGCTGGTTCTTGCCTCAACCCCTAGCAAGATCATTTTCTGCACTACTGTGGAGTTCTCATACTAGGAAGAAACAGCTAATTTCCAATGGTTCCCAAAACTGATTTCAACCCGTGATGGATACTACCCTGACATGAATCAATCCTGAAAAACCTCCAATCTGAATTAGACAGAATAATCATGACTGTAATGTATGTCGTAGCTCAATTCAACTGCTTATTTACGAAGAACTATCTTGACGATTGAAGAAAAGTGTGAGCGTCACTTCTATCAACTCAAATTGGTGTCCTCAGCTGCTTCATGCGGCAGCGCAAGTATCTATCGGCTAGAGGTGAGGAACATGATATTGCATTTTGTCGGCTTAGTCCACACCCAGTTGTCGGTGGCTGCAGGTTTGGGATGGCCTCGATAAAAAAAGTGATTTTAAATCACAATGGACAGACAGTAGGCCTGTGTAGTGATAAGCGTTGATATTTGTGGAACTGAGGATAGACAGGGAAGAAGACTGTTATGGTAAAAAATAATCAGTGAGACTATCGAAGTGGTTCGCTTTTGGAATGATAAATTTGACATTGTTAGCAACAGTCCTACTAAAAAACATCTGCGTCTCAATGCCAACTAGCTAACTCCATGAACTACAAACCGAACAGAAGCTTAGAAAGCTGTAGTTAATTTAGAGCCAGGAAACGTAGGTGGTCACAGGAATTGTCTTATGAAGTATTTCAAAATGGAGTTCCGTGAATTTTAATAATTATAGTATGTATGTATGCATAGTATGTATAGTATGTACTTGGAGATAAGTGTTGCGCACAGTTCCATCTAACTGGTCTTGATCACTGGTTATTTTAAATTCATTGATAGAACAGAAATCCTACTTCTGAAGTGCCTAGCATCCAATATTCAAATGGGACCTGTAAACAGGAAACTCAAATAGATCAAGAAAAGCTTCAGATTTGATCATGGGTGTGTATATGAGATCATTATCTTGAAACGTATAACGAAACACGGGGATGTTTTCCGCTTACCAGCTCTATTGACGTTTTCTGATCTGAAAAGAACAATTTAAACCGCAAATTAGAAAGTTCCCGCAGTATGTTAATTTGCTTGGTTTTGGGTAGCAGAGGAATCCAAGATGCTCGTTTCGTCCTATTTGGGACTCGTCAGTTGGATGTACCTGCACCCCAGCGAGTGATGTTGTTCCCACTGAGACCCGAACAATTCGACCCTATAAAACAACGGAGAATTGCAATTATATCAATAAATAGCAATAAGTTACCATAGCATCTTTGCGAAATAAAAGCTTACATAAAACATCGCTTAACACATGGATCTTTATTCAAACACGTCATCCTGTTAAGGCTTGTGACAAGCTATCTCCTGAGTTGGTCGTACCGTTTTATATCTGTCGTTAACGTCCACTGTCTTTCATTTCCAACCACAGTGATCACAGACTTTGCTCTGATGGATGCTTTTTCTTCATACCGCTTGTCTTAGATTGACTACTGTTCTTGAAACCCCTTAATCATCTTGGACTATACAGATAGGAATCTAGACAGCGATAAATTGTAAATTTTCATTGACCTCCAAAAATAATGCAAGGATGCGCGGAAAGCTTTTTTGACTTCCTCCTAAATGCAGATTTCGGCTTTAGAACTTTTCTGAATCGATACTATGTTTATCGATAAGGCAAAGAGGATTGAACGCGTCTGACCATTTCACTGACCTAGGGAGTTGTGTCAGCAGTGGTAAATTGGTGGTCGAAGAAATCTAGACATAAATAAACAATAGGGTCAACTTAACCTTCCCGACCTACGTTACTTATAGTACCCACATAACTTCTGAGTGTTTATTAAGAACTTGAAGGGATTTCTCAGCAGTGCACTTTACTTTCTGTGACTGTGAATTAGGTAAGAAAATTTTGGTGGAAATGCATAACTTGTAAGTAGTTTATAGCTGTCAGCCTCGAATAGTCCTTGTTGTAAATTATTCTGCAATCAGACTCACTTTGATAAATGAAAGGCAGATAGTCGGTTAATAAGGACTGAGGTGGTCGCGACATATGATACACATACTAAACACCACTGTCTACACCAAAGTATCATATAATCTTCAGCAGAAAGAATGGTGAATATGACCGGATTAGAAGTGAAGTTTCTGAACATTAGTCATAGTCACAGAAAACTTTCTGGTCATGAACTGTCAAACAGCTGAAGTCTATGTTCAGTAAGTTTAGATGCTGAAAAGCAAAATGTGCAGATGCATCTGTGCCTTATCTTCCCTCACATTCTGAATGCCTTTTTTGCTTTTCCTTCATCAATACAGTCACAAAAATTTATATCAACTTTCCCATGCTTGTTGCTGAGACCTTCTAACAAATGATTTGTAAGAACTGCAAGGCCTACTGATACACCGTTACTCCAAGTCGAGTTATTTATGCGTCATTCTAGTTCTTATGGGGTATGCGGGCCTGGCTTTAAGGATGGTAAATACCTTTTCTTGAGTTGCCTAAAAAAGAAAGCGTATGTAATCTTATCGACCTAGGTGTGAGTCTACAGAGTTTAATGGACAGCTACTGCAGACTGCTCACACATATTCTTCTGATATGAACGAGTCCACAGTTGAAAACTTTACTGATGGTAACGGAACTACATTGGATAACAGGAGTACTAACATTTTTAGGTCGAACCTTTTCTGTTACCTGTTTCTGACAAAGAGATTTTAGTACCGACTTGGAATGCCGGTTATCCTTGACAATGTATCACCTTACTGTTGTCCCAATTAATAGAGTCAGCTGTACAACCATGACCTCTAACTGCATTTTTCGTGTACCTCCCATAGATCTTCTGGCGTGGGGGCTTCATGACAATGTGTAAGACCCTCCGCATCTGTTGTCGGCAGATTCTGTCAACAAGAATAAAATATTTAATTTTCTGGAAAAGATTTGTCAGCTTTATTCATTAGTTACCATTCTTTCAGAATGTATCATTGATTTAACCTATACCTCTCAATTAGTATTCGATATATCTATCTCAAATGAAATCGTAATATAATCTGGATACGCATTTAAATGAATAGCCTAGCAATCTAGT